TTTTAATGCACCCCAGTACTAATAATGTAGTCAACACCAAAACTAATTGTTTATGTTATCATTTTGTTGTGTAGATAATAATAGAATAGGCAAACTTAAGACTCACTTTATCAAACATTTTAAATTATTGTTACATGCATTGAAAGTAAAATTCTAAGTATTAGAAAAAGTCATCTACATTTGCTGTTGTGTGTAGTTCAATTATTGAAAGTTACCAGGGATGTTCTATTATTTTTTAGTAATACCGATTCCACATGAATTTGTTTCAGGCACGGTTCGTGGTATTGCACCTGCTGTAATAATGGAGCATAATTATAGCGCGGCTAGCAGATCTACAAGAAAAACATTTGCAAAAGGTACACAATATTACTATTACTTAGTCACTAAAACACACATGGTATTGTATATAAAAAACAGTTCAAAAGTTTGAAAATATAGGTGATACTTAATCAAAAAATATAATTTACATTTCATATATTTTTAAGTTACAAAACAATAATAGTGTAATAAAATCATCTTAATTGTTTTGATTCCTTATTACCAGTTAATATCAGTTATGATCAATGAAATTTTAAAATGAAGCTACCCTGTAGCGGAACTTAATGCTTAAAAAAAACTAATAAAAATTAAAAATTTGTGAGGACATTGACATACAATTATGTCCAAATTAAACCTTTAGCGACGAAAATCAGATACTTGCAGTCGGAGATAAGCCGTTTAAAGAAGAGAGGGCAATCCTTCAAGGCGAGGCTAGCTCGCGAAATTATCTAAGGAAACAGCATTCCAGCAAGTTGTCAAAAATATGAGGAAACCTGCCTAAGAAATCCAAATGTAGACGATTTACAATGGATGAAAAAATCCTTGCATTATCAATGTATAAAAAAAGTCCAAAAGCCCTATTCATTATTATATAAATATTTTACATTGCCCTCATCAAAAGCAATGAAACGGTTGCTCAGTCAAATTAAATTGTGCCCTGGTATTAATCCCATTTTATTTGAAAAAATTAAAAAGACTACTCGAAAAGGATACTCCTGATCGACTTTGCAGTCTTATATTTGATGAGATGTCTTTGACTCCACAAATATTTTATAATAATCAAAAAGATGCATTTAAAGGGTTTGCCACGTCTCAATGTACAAAATTTGCCGACCATGCTCTTGTTTTTATGGTAAAAGGCTTAAAACAAAATTTTAAACAGCCGGTCGCCTATTATTTTACCAATAGCTTGCAAAAAAATGAGCTTAAAACTTTGATTAAATTTGTTATAACTGAAGTCCAAAAATCTGGCCTAATAGTAATTAATACTGTATGTGACCAAAGCTCTGTAAAGGTTGTTGCTATAACAGATTTAGTTAATGACACAAGAGCGAGGTTTTTGAGACTTGATAAAGAGTGGCGCCATGATTTATTTAGTATTAATGGTCACGATATTATTTCATTGTATGATGTTCCTCATTTATTGAAAGGAATTAGAAATAATTTATTGAGTAAAAATATGATGTATAAATCAAACAATGAAAATAAAATAGTTAAATGGCAATATTATCAGCAGGTATATACAACTGATAAATCACATGAGGAGCTCCGATTATTAAATAAAATAACGGAAGAACATATTGTCCCCGAGAAAATAAATAAAATGAGGGTCAAATCTGCAACAAAGGTTTTCAGCCAAAGTGTGGCTGTGGTTACTGACCATTTGATAGCAAGAGGTGATTTGCCAGTAGAATGTAAGCAATTAATTGAAATAACTTGATAATTTGTTTGATAGCCTCAATGGTAGTACATTTAGCATACCTAATGTTAAAATTTATAAAGGACTAATTAAAAGGTACTCACCTCATCACCAACTGTGGCTAAAAGATAAAGAAATTTTAAAAACTGTAAGATTCATTCAAAAAAAGGTTACTGGAAATAAAGTATATTTAGTGGAAACGACTATACCTTCTGTGACAAATTTTATTAAAACTATCAACGGTACAATTTGCAAAATTTTGTTTTGTAAATACGGTTATGATACAGTATTAACACGTAATTTGAATCAGGACCCTGTAGAAAACTTTTTTGTGAACATCAGAAGCTTTGTACCCAGGAATATTGCCCCTAACACTATTTCATTTGAAGGGGCATTTAAAGCATTATTATTAAACAATTATAATCTACCACAATCCAAAAAATCTAACTGTGAAGAAGATATGAATGAGTGCCTTCAAGGCCTTCATTTTTTTCTTAATGAAAAACAAAATAATACTGTCGATTCTGATGTTCCCTCTGAAGATAAAATTATTTTAAATGATAATTTGTTACAAAATTATTCATTACAAGCAGATGCTGGGCAACGAAATTATGTATGTGGTTGAGTCTTGAGTAAATGTTTAAAAAAAGTTGTAAAGTCGTGTAAATATTGTAGACAAAACCTAACAGATTCAAACAACCCGCCGTACGGTGTCATATTTTCTTTCTCTTTCTTCACGCGTATAAGTAGTTCTAGTATTTTCGCCGTTTTTAGGCTGGGGATACACATGCCAGTAAATCGGGAAAGTAGGTGGCATGAAAGTTACTGGCATGTACGAGTAACTGGCACACTGCGGATACATTTGCATGTAATACTGGCATGCAAGTTGTGCCCTTACATGCCAGTATTACCATTGCGTATACACAGGACAGTCACTCGGTACCTATTCTTGCGTGCCAAAAATGGATAACAATCAACAAAAAGTTATTTTGTTATTGGCAATAATCTTAACTGAGCAGCAATACTTTGTCCGAAATAATAAAACTCATCTTTTCTTTTTCATTTGATCCAGGATTATTGATTGCAGTAGCAATATTTTCCAGACGTTGAAGTGCAGTTAAGGTTTCGTTTTGCTCTACACGTTTTTTCTTAGTCTGACTAGTTTTGTGTGGTCGGTTGACTGCTGCAGTGCGAGAGGAGGATTGCTGGTCCTGGAGAGAGGGTGATGGTACTTGCTCGTTTGTAATGCTTGCTTGATTGGATGAGTGTGATTGGTCGACTGCGACAGAGAATGTTTCGTTGTTTGGTGGGTTGACTGTTTGAGAGGATTGCTGGTCTGATGAAGTACCTCTTTGAGAGTGTGGTGTTTCTGTTTCAGTGTTCGATTGAGAGGACTGTTGTATCTGTAAATTTTATTTTTTTAATTAAGTGTTGCAGGTAATATTCGTTACTTTATATGTGTTAACAGACATTTTGTTTTCAGATTCCTACGAGGTAGGAATGGAAGGAGATAGAATATGGCTTTCGAACCAAATGGAACTTTCCAGGCTGTATTGGAGCTATCGATGGCAAACACATAAATATTATTGCTCCTGACGAAACATCAAATTATTTTAATTATAAAGGAAGCCACAGCATAGTGCTACTAGCATTGGTGGATGACGATTACTGTTTTTCTTATATTGATGTAGGATGCAACGGCAGAGCTTCAGATGGAGGAGTGTTTGAAAGATCAGTCTTGAAACAAGCACTAGAAAATAATTATTTAGATATTCCTGAACATTCTGTTATAGTTGGAGATGCAGCTTTTCCCTTAAAAAAATATCTCATGAAATCGTTTCCTGCCAGGGCCACCTGAAGAGAAAAAGTTTTTAATTATCGGTTATCAAGGGCCAGGCGAATTGTCGAAAATGCGTTCGGTATCCTTGTATCAAGATTCCGAATTATTAAATCATTTATAGCTCTAAAACCAGAAAAAGTTGACGTCATAGTATTAGCGGCATGTTCTTTACACAATTGGTTGCGGAAAACCACTAATACGTATATCACACAAAGGTGAAGGAGGCGTGATCAGTTACAAAGATCTTTACGGAATTTATCAGGAACACGAAATAATCGATCGTCTAGAGCAGCGGTTCCCGAAAGGTGGTCCGCGGAACCCTGGGGTTCCGTGGAAAGGCCGCAAGGGTTCCGTAAAAAATATTATTACACGTTTCGTGACCAACGTTGTTCGCTCGCGCGCACCGACTTGTTTACGCACGAGATAGGGGCAGGGCGTGCGGGCGAAGTAGTACAGCGCCACAGATTACTAAATAGTGACAGCGCGCACAGCCCTCCACGCCCCGCGCATCCGTGTTGCAGCGACGGCGCGGCGGGGCGGATTATACCGGTCTAGATCGCGATAAGAGCACACGTATTTTAATTATTGAATTAGTGAATAGCTGCAGTGAAAAAATACCTGTTGTTGGGTACCTATTGATCTGGAATTTTTTTACTGGTAAGTCACAACGTTTTTGTTTATTTGTAGAGATATATTCACGTGTTATTTTTATTGTAGGTAGTTCAAAATGGAAAGTTGGCTCAAAACGGGGCGCCTCACAAGTGGCAAAAGTATTTCGGATTCTTCATTAGATTCAGAGCCACCAGCAGTGTGTACTGAAAATATTTCAGAAAATGTTCCTGGTTCGTCGGTAAGAAAGTTATGCACAAGTTTTTTTTTACAATTATTTGGGTAATTTACTGTGATACAAGTTATTTACTAAATTTACTAATTTTATTTATTGTCGATTGTACGTATGGCTATGGTTGTTATCATTGTTTGTCAATTCTTTTCAGGGTTTGCTAAATACACAAGACCCTAGTGCCGGACAGAATATACAACATACAATCACCAAAAGAGTTGCAACCCAGGAGAAAACTTCTTCAAAAAAGGAGAAGATACGACGAATCCTACTTGTCCTTTGGATTTGTTCCTGTGGGAATGACTGAGAACTCGGATGGACAATGTGTGATTTGCAACAAAATAATAAGTAATAGCTCACTGGTACCTGCAAAGCTTAAACGACATCTTGACACGAACCACCCAGAACTGAAAGATAAAAGCGTCACCTTTTTTGAAAGACACAAAGAAGTGCGTAGAACTGGTACAGCTGCTATACAAAAATTTGTAAAGACCGATAATGAAAATGCAACAGAGGCATCATTTCTGCTAAGTTACAAAATCGCTCGTGCTGGTAAACCACACACGATTGCAGAGGCATGTATGACAGAAATTGTCACTTGTGTACCTGGAGAAGAAGCAGCAAAGAAAGTGTCAGCAGTGCAGTGTTCAAATAACGTCATTTCTGATCGAATTCATAAGATTTCTGACCATATTCAAGATGAATTAATTAGTAGATTGAAGACCAGCGAGATGTTTGCAATGCAACTGGACGAAAGTACAGATGTCGTCGGGTTATCAATACTGCTTGTTTTTGTGAGATATCCCTTTGGAGGATCTATTGAAGAGGATTTGTTTCTTTGTACTCCTTTAGAAACCAACACAACCGGAGAAGAAATTTTTAAAGTTATCGATAGTTACATGACTAAGCACCATATTGATTGGAACAAATGTATTGACGTGTGTAGTGATGGAGCGGCAGCTATGGTTGGCAAAATAAAAGGCACTGTAACAAGAATCAAGGAGGTTGCACCTAAATGTAGTAGCAGTCACTGCGTTTTACATCGCCATGCCCTTGTCGCAAAAAAATGCCATACGAGCTCAAGACAGTTCTCGACCAAGCAGTACTAATTGTAAACTAAGTTAAATCACGTCCACTCCAGTCGAGGCTTTTTAAAAAAGTGTGTGAGGATATTGGAAGTCAGCATCAATCACTTCTTCTTCACACGGAAGTAAGATGGCTTTCAAGAGGAAGAGTTCTATTAAGGCTGTTTGAATTGCACGACGAGCTTAAGATATTCTTTACCAAACAACCAGTTTCTGCACACGTTAATAAGCTTGTTGAACTGCTGCATGATGAGCAATGGTTGATGCAATTGGCTTATTTAGCTGATATATTCGATAAGCTCAACGTAATCTGCAAGGCATTACAGGGACGAGCTACAACAAAATTTACAGTAAATGATAAAATGTCTTCACTGAAAAACAAGCTTGCGTTCTGTATTGAATGTGTTGAAAAACATAATTACGAATGTTTCACAATATTAAATGACTTTCTAAAAGAAAATGAGCTGCGGGTATCTTCAGACTTGGAAAAGAATATACATGAGCATTTGACAAGCCTTACAAAATCTTTGCATGAGTATTTTCCGGAGCAGTTGCAGGACATGGACTGGGTGCAGAATCCGTTTGTAAATCACACCAAACCTTCGATGCTGTCGGTGTCAGAGTATGAGAATTTGATTGACATCAAATTTTCATCAACGCTAAAACAAAAGTATGAAGAAGGAACTTTTGATTTAAACGCCTTTTGGATTGGACTCAAAGATGAATACCCAGAAATTGTTAATAGAGCCATCACATTACTGTTACCGTTTGTGACGACTTACCGATGCGAGACTGGTTTTTCCGCATATGCTTACACCAAAAGCAAGTACAGAAATAGACTGGATGCAGCTCCAGATCTTCTGTCTGTCATTAAGCCTAATTTTAATGCTATTTTAAGAAAATATGTAAAAAAATTTCATTCGTCACATTAAATTCACAAACGTGTTTTTATGAATTTAATGTGACGAATGATATTTTTTGTACGTTTTATTACTTTATGTACCTATCTACATATTCACAGTAAATGTATAAAAATAATTTCATAAAAACTTAATTGTTTTTCATTTATACCTTTTTTAAGGTAGGCAAATTTCCATTTATCAACGTAGGGTTCCGCTAAAAAAAGTATAATCAATTAGGGTTCCTCGGCAAAAAAAAAAATTGGGAACCCCTGGTCTAGAGAAGCGATACTTATTAGAAATAAATATGCAGATCTTTTCATTACAACAGAAGCAGTGCCTTGGCAAGATCGTATGATTAATATTTTAAATGAATAAATGTAATTGTCTAAGTACTTTTCCTTAATATAACTATTGTGTCAACTTTTTTTACATAATAATAGATAAAAATACATTACATAATAATATATAAAAAAAAACTAAAAAAACACGCTTTTAGAGCACATCGAACTAAAAAGCAAAACATAATTTTTAATATAAGCTGATATTATTCTGTTAGTAAATCGAGTCTAAAGAAGTCGGTTACAAACATAATATGAAGCTAATAAAAGCGTGTTAAAGAGAAAGAGTAGGTACTTACAACAGCGATTTGGATTGAGCCGGGTAATGACTCTAAAACATTTCAAAAAAATCACAGAAAACCTACATATTTCTAATATAAGAGAAGAACTACCAAGGAATTCAACATTACAATAAACTGTGTAAAATCCAACCATTCATTGATATTTTGAGTGTGACATTTGGAGAGGCATGTGACCAATCATCAAACCAATCCATTGATGAGTCTATGATTCGGTTCAAGGGAAGAAGCTCAATGAAGCAGTATATGCCCAAGAAACCAATAAAGAGGGGATACAAGTCTTGGGCGAGATATGATGCTAAAACAGGATTTCTATACCAGTTTCAAATTTATACTGGAAAAATAGGTACAGCCAGTGAAGAAAATCTTGGATATAGAGTTGTTCTAGACTAGTCTGAAAATGTACCTTACAAACACCTTACTGGCATTTGACAATTTTTTTACGAGTTTAGGAGTACTTGCAGCACTGCTACAAAGACAAATTTATGCTGTGGGAACAATTCCAAGTAACCGAAAAGGTCTACCAGAAGTTTATAGCAAAAATATGAAAGAAAGACATCTCAATACAGGCGAGTTTTTATTTTTTTTTAGCAGGCCTATATCTATAATAAAGTGGAAAGATACCAAAGATGTCTTTGTAGCTACCACACCTTACTGCCCTAGAGAAGTTACAGTAATAAAAAGAAAACAGAAAGATGGTTCGAAAAAAGAAATGGTCTGTCCGCTAGCAATAAAGAAGTATACAGAAAATATGTGAGGTGTGGTTCTATTCGATCATTATAGGTCATCATATCCTCTAGGGAGGAAGTCAAAAAAAAAATTGGCATAGGCTCTTTTGGTTTTTATTCGAATCTGCAATAATCAATGCTTATATTTTGTATATGGAAGGTCACTCCAGCAGAAAGAACACGCATAGAACTTTCAGACTGCGACGAGCAATGATCGACACGTTTTCTAGTAGGACAAGAAGGCAACCAGTTTTTAAATGCAAAAAAGGTGGTGCACTTCATGTGCCTGATGAGCTTCGGTTTTCAAATGTAGGGACTCATATGCCAAGGCTGAATAAATTTAGGTGATGACGTTTTTGCAGCACTCGTGCTAAAGACTGCTACTTACTGCCATTATGTGCAGTTCCGTGCTTTGAAAGGTTTCATTCCAATACTGAAAATTCTCCAGCACACGGATCCTATCAAGGCTGAAGGAACATACTTCCCACACACTTTTATTACAAGGTGGCCCATAAGTCGTTAGAAATGTAAATTTCGAATAAAATACAAAAGGCGCGCATGAGTGGCGCGCGCGGTGCGGGGGGAGTACCGACGGTTTCTGGGAATTCAGTCGCCATGGAGCGTTTCACCGGTGCGGACCGTGCATTTTGTGTGCGCGAGTTTTATCGAAAACAATGATTCGGCTACCATTGCGCGGCGTAAATTTCGAGAATATCAGAATTTACGCAACTTTAAAGACATTCCAAGTGTTCAAATGATTAAGAACAGGGTTATTAAGTTCGAAGAGAGTGGTTCGACGTTGGATAAACAACGGTCAGGTCGACCAAGGACATCACGGACGGAAGAAAACATCGATGTAGTGAAACACTCAATTCGTGAAAATCCTACCCAGTCTACTCGTAGGCGTTCCAGTGCATTAAACTTACCCAGAACATCGTTACATCGAATTTTAAAGAAAGATTTACATCTTCACCCGTACAAGATTCAGATAGTACAGGAATTAAAAGATACTGACACTATCCACAGACTAAATTTCGCAAATGAAATGTTGAACCGCTTTACTTCGTTTAATAACGTGTTATTCTCTGATGAGGCTCACTTTCACATCAACGGCCATCTCAATAAGCAAAATTGTCGCTACTGGAGTTGCGAAAATCCAAATCGCAAACATCAAAAGCCCTTACATAGCCCTAAAGTGACAGTTTGGGCGGCTATGTCAGCGTATGGCATTATAGGCCCTTACTTTTTTGAGGACGGCAGAGGCCGCGCGCTTACTGTTACTTCACAACGGTATGTAGCTATGATCCAGGACTTTTTTACACCAGAGTTGCAGAATTTTCCAGGCTTCAATACGCGGACCTGGTTTCAACAAGATGGAGCAACTGCCCATACCTCTAACGTCGCTATGCCGGTCGTCCGTCAACTTTTCCCTAATAAAGTGATCTCTCGAAGAGGAGATATTCCTTGGCCACCACGTAGTCCAGATCTGATCCCAATGGACTTTTTCTTATGGGGTTATCTTAAGACTAAAGTGTACGAAACCAACCCGCGGACAATTGACGTCCTGAAAGAAAATATCCAAAGAGAAATGGCAAACATTACAGAGCTTACTTGCCGCGCAGTGATGGATAATTTTAAACGTCGCTTACAGGAGTGCCGCGATCGTAACGGATTACATTTAGATGATGTAATTTTCAAAAAATAATTCCCATTTTATAAGGATTATGACAAAATAAAAACCTTTTTCATAATGTCATTTTTTTTTTTTATTTTTTTTTTACATTTCAAGGGACTTATGGCTACCCGGTATTATTTAGAAATAAAAATCTCAAACAAATTAACAGTGGTCTACTTTATTTTCCTATCTACATTACCTAAATAATTGTATTTTTTATATAACATTACTGTGTTGCGCCCAATAAAGGGTTAATTATATACTTTTTTAATATATTATCATAATTATCTAAGGAGGTACGTTATTTAGTGGGAGGGGAAAATACAAGCACCGGTGGGTGCTAGGTACTGGGAATGAACATCTAATTTCCAATGCCTAACACGCACCAGTGCGTTTTTAGTTTATTACAGTTTTTATGAATTATATACACACGAATTTAATCAACTGTAACTTTAATTACACTTATCTTACATATCGCTAACAAAATAAGAATCTTATTACACATTTTTACCTAACAAGCAACAATAATTTAAAAATATAAAATAAAAATAAATTGTCTTATAACCAATACAAATAATGCAGGAATTATAATTACGGTTCAAGTTCTGAATGGTAATTATCAAAGCATTGTACACATAGTCCAGGCTTGTCAGAACAGTCGTCACAATACCAGGGAGTGGTCAGTACGCTTTTTGTTCTTGGTGCACTGGCGGCATGGCTTTCGCTTGAGTCGCCCATTTGGTAAGGTTACAACAGTTTTCTTTATCTGATGAGAAACTAGTCTTCTTTGGATATTTGAAGGTCTTTCTGGTCGATTTTCTGGTAACAAAGCATTTATGACATTCATCCTGTAATCATAAAGAGTTATTTTAGGTTGCCCTGAATATTTGTTGCAAATCTTCATTGAATTGATGAAGAGCAGCTCGAACGTGTGGATTGCTACCTTTAGATACCAACGTAGTCTTTCTTTCGCAAGGATAGAAGGATAAGAGCTGGTAATGCCTGTCGACTCTTGACATATAGTCGTTATATTTTGATATGGCTTCTGACTTGTGAGTAATTTGGCCACGTTTTTTTGCGACTGGCACCATTCCATCTTCATACTGGGTAGTAATGTAAAGGACAGGACGTTTGTCCTTCCCCTTGCCAACATGTACTCCTGCCTGAAACATTGAGCAGTTTTCCCCTTTCTTTAAAGTTTTTTGAACTATTTCTAGCGGATTTTCTTTTAAATCTTTCCGCAGAGTGCCGGTGCAATATGTATTATTATCAAGCAGCTTCTTCGCCAAACTAAAACTGTTATAATAATTGTCCATGCATATTTCGTGGCCATTATTTAGTTTCTCCTGAAGAGGCTGCATGACCACTTTTTCTGCAAGCCCCTTTTCTGTGACTTCTGTATCTTTTCCGCCTGCATATACTCGGAATTATAATATCAAACTATCTGGCTCTGTCAGCATGTATAATTTTATGCCATATTTATGGCGTTTATTCTTAATAAATTGCCGAAAACTCAGTCGTCCACTCCAAAGTATCATACTTTCATCCAGGGACAACTGCGCTGCAGGATAATAGCATTCATTTATCTTGTTGTTGAAGTAATCAATAAAACTCCGTATCTTGAACAACGGGTCCCCACTATCTTCTGAGCTAAAATGCAAGCATCGCATTACGAGGAGAAATCTATTCCTGCTCATTTGTTGTCCAAAAACTGGTATTGAGAACAACCTATCCCTTTTCCAGTAGTCTTGAAGTCGACTGAGAGGGATAGTTCCCATGTGGAACAACAATCACAACAAGAAAAATTCTTAGCTCCAGAACAGCGATCGGTTTCCATCCAATTATCCTTGAACGATCTCTTCTTTGTCCTTCTTGTCTCCACTCAGTTCTTTGCCTTTTATTTTTTTCCATCAGCCTTTGGGCCTGTGCATTTGTCTCCATACAAATCATGAACAAAAAATCTTCGGTGAAAAAGAAGTTAAAATAATCTACAGGATTCGCTCCAGTAACTTCACCACAAAATTCGTTACATTTTGTGAAATCAATTTGTTTCATCTCGCCGGTAGCTGTCCAATTAGAAATTGAGCCAGCCGCAGATGGCCTGTTTGGTTGGATTTGTTCCTGAGTCTGATGCAGGTAATGGATTTCACTGCAAGTCTTGTCCCTGGGCTGGGGATGACAATGATCAATGTGTAGTAGGTCGCAATTCTATATTGAATAGGTTCACCACCTCACCTTCACTCTCTGATGCTGAATTCTCCTCATCAGGCTGGAAGTCGTCCTCAGAATTAGTACCATACAGTTCCTCTTCTATATCACTGTCACATGTAACATAAAACATTTGTTTCCGCTGCCTTTTAGACCCAGAAGGGCCTTGTTCAGAGTCCATTTTTATTCGCAAGAAAAAACAGAACCGTTCACGATAGGAAAAAACCACAAAGATTCAACGGAATTTTAGAAATTCAAGCATAATGCCGCTTCAAAAACAACTCTCCTGGCCAAATGCCGGCGCTGCACTGACTGAATGAACTTTAGTAAGTGAGAGCACGCACCGGTGCGTGGCCCCTGCTTGAAACTATCTTCACGCGCACCAGTGCAGCGAAGTTGTTAAGAGATCCAAGAGTATTTTAAAATATTTTGTACTGGATACTTTATTTATAAATTAATTTTATATTAACGTTAAGTTGAGCTAAGTCTTAGTGTAATTGATAAAACATACATACATAGTTTGTTGACATATTAAGAGTTAAATAATAAATTTTTAACTATTGTAAAACCTTGACTAAACTGAAGTAGGCTTAGAACTGTAATGAACATCTTCCCAGCATAGCCCACAGAACACCACAGCAGTGTTATTTATAAGAGAACGTAAGCCCATATTGTAGAGATATTAAAAAGGATGTTTACTTTTACTAAAAATAGAGTTGGCCCTAAAACGCTTCTGCTTGAGTCTGTATGTAATGGTAGCCACTACAATGCTTTTATTGAGGCCTCTTGTTTGCAGTTTTTAGGTAATCTTTAAATAATGTGTGTAATATTATGTTGAAGTTTTTCTACAAGAGGATAGAATATATATATATATATATATATATATAATCCCCTACTGCAGCTATATATATATATATATATTCTATCCTCTTGTTGTCGCTATATCATTAAGGAAATTCAGTTGGTTTTTATAAGGAAAAAAGCTTGTGTTATCAAGACTTGAGTGGTTGGTGTATGAGTTTAATTGTAGTAAGTACTATCTCGACAACAGCGCCAACTACCGGATCCAAATGAATATAAACTATATAGGGGCCCATCAAACACACAAAAAATTTCTTTAAAATCGGTTGAATAGTTTAAAAGTCGGATATAGGTAGAAACTTTTTTTGTGTTTATATAGATAGATATCATTGATGCAAGATTAATTGAAGACACATTCATTTATTACGTGGTCGAGCCATGCTGCAGCTATATTATAGTTGTAGTACAAATGGGTTGACTTGAAAGGTGAAGCACCATGCTCTCACAGAATACCATTGTGAAATAACTTCCTAATGCTGTTTTGTATGATGACTGTAGAACTGTAGACCTTTTTTACTGGAAAAATGGCATAAAGAGTGTGTCACCCTTATTCTATAAAAAAAAGAACCAGTGTATAAAGCTTGGGTGATCATGAAATCAAGTAGAGCTGTTTTCACCAAATTCTTTGTAACACTCAAATATGTCATGTATTAAAAGTAGAGAAGGTACCTTCTATATAGAATATAAAACAAATAATAATACACAAGCTGACTTCAATCTTAGCTACTGAGTCAAATGATTGAGAGAATGGGTGGAAGATGTGCTCTTGTGTACATATATCAGCACCCGTCCAAGTTTCTTATAGTTAATAACCTCAAATGGTCTGGCTTTCAGCTTGTTGCACTTACGGTCGAGCTTCAGTAGTTTCAAGAGCATGCACTTAGCTTCAAGCTTTAAAAAATTCAATAGCCATGTCTCCTTTTCCAACACTTTATAGTGTAAAATATTTGGTTCCATGTTGGCCAGTCTTCTGCCAGTGTAGCCTAGTATGTTGGGTCTATAATGAACCTTTTCATGTGTGACTTAAGTCCTCTTTGTGCAAACTAGTTAAATAACATGTTTCTTTTATTGCATTAAATTTGTTCACTGTCTAAGATTTAGCAATCATCATTTTTTGGCTGTACAACATTTAAGCAAGCATCAGCAAATTCAGTAAATATAGGCTCTATCATATATTCTCTTATCAATGCATCAGGATGAGAGGATTTGTCTAATATTTCCAACATTTCTCTTATGTGAGGATTTCCTAAACACTTTTTAAGTTCTGCTGACTGTTCTGAAAGTTTAAAGAAATATTTAAAAAATATTATTTATAAATATTATATCTTATAAAATATCCTGTCATGGGTGTGCCGTGGTAGCTCAGATGGTTAGCGCTCGTAAATTTTACAGTATGTGAATAGCCCGGGTTCTATCCCCTTCGGCAAACATGAGATTATTAAACGCAATTTTTTAGCGCTGATTTACCACATGCTCAGCGGTGAAGGAAAACATCATGAGAAAACCTGCATGTCTGGATTTTGGTGGGATTTCATGACAAAGTCCCATATATATTTTATCCCCTAATTTAAGGAATTGAGGAATGATTTTTTTTAAAAACCTGAAACACAAATTTTTTAATTGGTAATAAAAAGTATTCTGTGAATTTGTATAATTTCCAGATCTCTAGCATGAAATTAACTTCGTATGGGAAAACCCATATACAAACCTCCATTCCCTAATTTTAAGGGTGGGGGGTGATTTACTAAAAATCCTGAAATATGTATTTTATTTTATTATTTATAATAAGGAGCAACAAGAAGTCCCTATATCAATTTGCAGACTTCTAGCATCAATCAAATTTGTGGAAGTCTCATATAAATTTCCATTCCCTAGTTTAAGGGATTGGGGGTTAAAAATTCCAAGTTTTAGATTTTTTTGTTGTTTGTATACTTACTAATTCTAGCTTAAATACCAAATTTCAGCTTTCTATAACTTCAGGAAGTACCCAAAAAATTTGATGATTATCAGTGAGTCAGCAATGAAATTGGTTTGTATTAAATATCAATAAAATCTAAACTAAAACCATTCACATCACATCCCAAGAATTTTTTCATAAACAAAGCGCAAGTTATGAGGGTTCAAAAAAAATGAAGAAGCACTTCTTGAAAAGATAGGTAGTGCTTCATGTTTGGTTTGGTTGGCTCATCTCTGCGAAGAGCGAAGGTACTACTATGCTATCAGATAAAACAGGTATTGCTATGTAGTAATGACTAAAATATGTAAAAAATAATACATTAAAAAATCTAGAATAATCAGGAATTGATAATCAGGGCTCAGCAATATAAAAGACAGATATTGATTTTTAAACACAAGTGCATTGTATTGGTGATATCTTGAGGGCAATTTAACAATTTCAACATTAAGAAAAATTAAATTATGATTAAGTTCCAGTAGAATAGATTAACAATAGTGAAGATATGTTATAGCCCCATTAAAGCAGCACATTAAGGATAATTCCAAATAAATATGGTTGAAACACTTGGATTGCACATTTTAAACATAAATGATGATAAAATAATGTACCAAATTTGATCTACCATTTTTCAATTCATCATATTATTTTAATGATTGCTATTTAAGTTTGAAAATCACTGATCTATCTAGCATAAGCAAATGTAAACATGTTATGGTTATAGTACTATTTTTAATTTTAATAAAACATGCCCCCATTTGCAGCTCATTTTTATTTAACATCAATATTGAACTTTAACATTCACATTATATAATGTGGTTGTGTATAATTTACCTAGTAACTTTAATTTTTCTATTGGCACAGTATCTTCTGTTGGGTATTCATATTCAATGTTATTTTCTTTTGTAGAAATTACTGGTGGCTCTGTCGGAGTGGGGACACAGCAAGGATTTTGTTTATGAAGTTTATAGCAGGCAACTGAACAACTAAAATAAAAAATAATGAAACAAATAAGTATCATAATAATAATCAACCAAGTCTATCAAATTTCATAAAAAAAAATAAAAAAATCACATAGTGACAGTGTAAGAATATTCATTTTCGCATTTAGTCTCATGGGTGCTGTAAGAGCCGACAAGGAAAACTGAAACTTGAGATGGGCAGCAGCATATTCCTAATAACAACTCAAAACCATAAAAAAGTACAGGAGCAAACCTGCCTGACAAATATGGCAACAATGGCTAAAACCCCTCTATAAAGGCTAACTATGGGGGAGACCTATGTTTGGCAGTGATTTTTTATAGGCAGTAATGGATGATGGATAATAAATAATTAAAAATTGTCTACTTAATAAAAATATCAGCTCATACTACAGGTCCCAGGGTCTAACACAAGAGACTTTTGCTTGGGGCTCCGGGTAATTTCAAATTTTAAATATAATGTTTTACGATAATTTTTTCATAGTAAATTTTTTGATGCACTTACTAAGGTTGTAGACACGTCGGACATTTGTATTTAGAATTACTTCCACAATGTATGCAACTCATTTTATTTAGAAGATTGTATACAAAAAATTATATTATCATCGATATTAGAACTTTATCAATAAATACACCCATTGAATATTTTTTTAAAATTTTAGATGGTTTACGCCAGTTTACGCCTTTGATATCATTTGATTTGATATATATCACAGAATACATTTATCATTTACCCTGACGCCTGACGGGATATATATTATATACATAGTTTAGCTTGCTACATATTTATTTATCTATGACATAGTTACATAGAGGAATAGAGGAAAGTAATATATCGTACAGATCATAGATAAATAAATATGTAGCAAGCTAGTACAGATATATATTTCTTATTTTTGTTTCCTGTTAACCAAGCCTAGCTCACATTAGATCGCGCAATACCAACCTTACGCCCGCCAAGTAGTGATCGAATTAGATCAGAATTATGTAAACATGTCTACCTATGAAAAAACTATTTTTTCGTTTTAAACAAAACCAAAGACACTATGCAATAGATATTAGTATCAAAGACAAAGATATGCTCTTTTATTTTAAACCATAACCTGGCAATGTTTCTTAGAAAAAAAAAAAAAAGAAATCACTCTGAACTTTCGGCGTTCCACGTGCCGTTTTGATGACGGTGCTCCGTTTTTTTTATAGAATTTTATATTTGTGTCTGGACTAAAAACGAAAGTATTATACTTTTTTATATTCCTTGTAATATAGTGAACACATATATATATAATTTGTGGTATAAAAAGTGAAAAATAAATTGCCAAAAGTGCTTCAAAATCTGGAAGGCCCATTATGGCGGCTGGGTCATAAATGTGGTATTTTTCACATTCT